TTCTCACTGTTTTATTTTCACTTTTGTTGCTTGAGTATTTGATGCTATATCCAAAATGCTGCCAAGAACCACGTCAGGGGATTTTATCCCATTTTCTTCTAGGAGCTCTGCAGTTTCAGGTTTTACATTTAGGTTTTTTAATGCATTTTGAATTAATTTTGTGACTGGTATAAGATGGAGTCCAATTTTACTCTTTTGCATGTGGATAACCAGTTTTTCCAGCACTATTTGTTGGAGTTACTAACTTGTTGGCTTTGGCAAACATTAGTCAACTGTACATATGTGAGTTTATTGGGCTCAATTCTGTCCATTTGTCTGTATGTCTGTTTTTTCCCAGTACCATACTGTTTTTGATTACTATAGCTTTGTAGTACAGTTTGAAATCAGAAAATGTGATATCTCCAGCTTTGTTATGCTTTCTTAAGGCTACTTTAGCTATTCAGCATCTTTTATGGGATTCTGAATTTTGGGATTTTTCTTTCTCTGTAAAAAAAATACTTTTGGAATTTTGATAGGGATTATGCTGAATCTGTAGATGAAAACTTTTTTTTTTTTGTACCAGGTATCCAATTTAGGACCTTGCGCTTGTGAGGCAGGCGATGCCATCACTGAGCTAAATCCCTGGCATATAGATGAAAACTTTTTAAACACCTTACTGAGGGACACAGAGGAACACTTCTAACAAATAGAAAGGAATTTTGTATTCTGACTAGCCATCTAGAACAAAATACTCTTAGTTTTTATCTGTTTTCCCAAAATAAATTCCATATGGAGCAAAGAGACAACAAAACTAACGCTATAGTGCAGGAAATAGCATAGTGATTCCTCAGAATAAAAAAGAATTACCATATGATTTAGCAGTTGCATTACTATTTATAGGCTAAATAATTGAAAGTATTTAAAGAGATATTTATATGCCCACATTCTTAGCAGCATTGTTCACAGTAGCCAAAATGTGGGGGCAACCTAGGTGTCGCCTCCAAAGATGTTACATGAAATAAGGAAGCCACAAAAAGACAAATACTTTGTGATTCCATTCTTATGAGTTATGTGTTGTGACCCGGTGTGGGGTGCATACTAGTAGTCCCAGCACTCGAGAGGCTGAGCAGGAGGACCACTGGTCTGGGCTACACAGGCACTTCGGAAGCCGGCCTGAGCCACAGAGCGAGGCCGCCTGAAACACACAAGCAAAGGTTCGTGAGGACTGAAGTGGGTGGTGAGTGCCGGCGGGCCAGGGAGAGGAAGGGGAGCGGAGGGGGATTGTTACTTATCGGGGGAAGTCTTTCCGCTTTGCAGGGTGAAAAGGTTCTGGAGACTGGTTGCACAAGGCCGTGACTGTAAAAAGTAATGTGACTGTGCTTAATACTTTTGAACTGCACGCTTAAAAATGGCTAAGAGAAGGCTGGAGCTTTAGCTCAGCGGCACCATGCTTGCCTTGCAAGCGCAAGGTCCTGAGTTCATCCCAGATACCAAAATAAAAATTAAAGAGGAAGCCATAAAAACATTTAAAAAAAGCCGGGCGTGGTGGTGCATTTCTGTAATCCCAGCACTTGGAAGGCTGAGGCAAGAGAATAGCTGTGAGTTCAAGACCAGCCTGGGCTACATAGTGAGCTCCAGGTCAGTCTCAACTGCATAGTGAGACCCTCTCTCAAAAAACAAACAAAACAAAACAGGAGAGTCTTATTTTCTATTCTCTCACAGTGAGAATATCTTCTAAGCACAAAACGAAGCCCAGCATCCAAACAAGAAGATACTGATAATATTTTATTATGTAAAATAATTTTTTAAAATTCTCGATAGTATAGCAAGAGAAAATGGGTATGGAATGTATGGAAATTCATAATATCTTCATAGCTTTTTATTTATTTTTTAATTTTTTTGGGGGGGTACCAGGGATCAAACTCGGGACCTTGTGCTTGCAAGGCAGGTGGTGACACAACTGAGCTAAATCCCTTCATAACTTTTTAAATCTAAAGTCATTCTAAATATTTAAATGTATTGAAAATTATATGACAAGAAATCAAGACATTATAATCAAACAAAAATATTTGCAGTTCAAACAAATTGAGCATTTTTGGCATATAATTAACTATAAATCATAAAAAGAATCGAACAGTAGAAAAATAGCAAAGTGCATAAATGTGAAAGAAAATACAAATGGTTTTTAATACATTATCAGAGAAATGGAAGGGTAAAGTACATGTACATGTCACCATGTCACATCCCCTAACAATTTGGGGGAGTTAGACTCTCAGTGGTTGTGGTCACCAGAATTCTAGGGTGACCCTGAAATACCGGACCCCGCCTGTGTGCACATGCTGTGCAGTAGACCCCCAGGACTGCGGATTTCATTGGTGTGACCCCTGGTTAGGTAATGTTCTGGACTCCGGTGGCCCTCCCTGCTCACATGAACCTTTCTGGAGGGAGCTCTTCACAACTGCCTGAAGAGGAAGTCAGAGACTTTGAAGCCCTTGAGGGGTTTGCTGACCATTGCAGGCAGAGCCACACGTCAAGGAGAGTGGTTGATCTCTAGTAATAGCTAGCAAGCAGAGTAGAATCTTAGTACTATTACACAGAGAACTAAATTGGCTGCGAGAAAGAGCTTGGGAGCAGATTTCCCCGACAGGGACTCCAGACGAAAGCTCAGCATACTGACATCTTGATCTTGGTGTTATCCTGAGCACAGAACATAACCTGGTGTGTGAATTACAGACTAAGAAATAATGGTGGTTTTTAAAGATTATTTTTAAGTGCTTAGCTCAGTGGCGGAGCATGTGCCAGGTCCTGGGTTCAATCCCAGCATCACAAAACAAAAAACAATAAAATTTATTTTTGAGATAAAATGCACCATTTTAGAGCCAATTCAGTGGACTTTTAGTGTGTTTGTAATACTATATAATCATTATTACTGATTCCAGAATACTTTCCATTCTGTCAAAAATAAACCTTGTACCTTATAGTGTCTTCTTTTTCCCAGTGGCCTGGCAACCAGTAATCTATTTTCTCTCTGTATAGATTTTCCTGTTCTGCACATTTCATATAAATGGAATCATATGATATGTGGCCGTTTGGCTCTGGCTTCTTTCGTTCAGTAGAACATTTACAAAGTTCATCGTATCTATTGTAGCATATACCAATATTCCATTTATTTTGATAGCTGAAGAATACTCTGTATTAGTCCACATTTCTTTTACCATTCACTGTTGATGGACATATAGGTTGGTCCCTCGTTTTTGGTTATTATGAATAATAGCACTTTGAATATTCTGGTATAAACCGGGGTACAGACCAGTTTTCAATTCTCTTGGGTTTGAAATCCCTCTTGGAGGGGGATTGGTGGACATATTGATAGCTTTTGATTCACTTTTTGTTGTTGTGCTGGGGATCTTGTTTGGGCTTTATATGTGCTAAGCACACACTCTGCCACCTCTTTTCCCCCAGCCTCAAATGTTAAGTGCCAAATGTGTGATAATTTATGCAATAGAAAAATAAAAGAAGTGCCATAAAAAACCAACCAGAAATTACATGCTCCCTGATGGAAGAACAGACTATCACCTGTGATGCAGTCTTGCAGAAACCAGAAATCTAAATCAGATCAAGCCTTTACTCTGGATCCAGCTACCATTTTACAAGAGATAAAGACCGTGATGAACTATGCCAACGGGATCCAACCAGAAGTGTGCAGATACACATTCCAGGCAGGAAAACATAAATCATTCTTATAATTTAATCTATAATATGATTTCATATAAGGAATTGGTTAAATAAGTGTTGAATCAAAAAGTGAGATAACGTGGAGAAACAGTTTTAGGGGTCAACTTCCAGATTTAGGGTTCATAAACAGAGAAAAGAAGTTGTGGTTACTGGGATGTACAAGGTTGGAGGAGGGCCCTTGAACAGATGAGACCCAACAGACTCACTTTTAAGTACTGCCCGGCTGATACCAATCCCTCTGAGGAGAGAGGCATGTGGAAGAAGCTGGCTTGGAGAAGCAATCAGAAAGCTCAAGCTTGGAACCAGCTACCAGTGACAGAGGCTATAGCTGGAAGATGAAGACAGGAGGAGCAGAAATCCTCTGAGCTCCGTGGTGCCGCTGCCTGCCTCAGAAACATGGTCCTGAGTTCAATCCCTGGTACAAACAAACAAACAAAACAAAAACAAAATGGGTTCAAGGGGAAGTGGAAGTAGCATTGAAATGAGATTGACCATATATTGATGGGCACGTAGAGTTAATTTTACTCTGCTACCTAACTATATGTTCACAATTCTTGATAATTGAAAGTTTTCAAAAGTGAAAAAACTCCATTGACAAACTTTATTAGATTAACAGTCAAGCTTTTGCATTGTCCACCAAATACTGCTGCAAATAATGTTGTATTTGGACAGTATCTCTAAGAATTAAAAAGCATGTACTTTTGATGCCACAGTTCCAATTCTAGGAGCGACTTATACCTGTATGTAAAGACATTTATACATGAGTTTTCACTGCTGCCACAGCAAGTTTGGAGAGCTAAGTATCCAGTAGGGAGGAGACAATATTAATGGGTTATGATGTAACCATGTTATGGAACACCACTCATTTAGAAAGGATAAAGCCGTTCGAATGTAGAGAATGTTCTCCAGGTAAGGAAGCAAGGTAAAGACCAGTACTTGTGGCATGCCATCATTTGTGTTATACTTGAATGGTACAATATTATCTTTGGAAAAATAGACCAGAAATTACCAGTAGTGGTGGGCTCAGAGCCAGGATACTAGATTAATAACAGTTCTAGGATGGAAGGGAGACTTTATTTCACTGAAAGAATAACCGTGGGAACAGCGATGAATGATGATTTCTTCAAGAAACTATGGGAACAGCTTTGTGCAGAACAAAGATTAAAGCTTAGTACTTCTTTCGCCTAACAAAAATAGAAAACATATTAACAGGTTAAATATAATATTACTATGAGAGACATGAAGTGAATTCACTTACAAGTGGAGGTATTATCAATTTTTTTTAGGTGGTGATAGTGGACTGGATGGGTTAGGAGGACCAGGTGTACAACTAGGAAGCCCCGATAAGAAAAAACGAAAGGCAAATACACAGGTAAATTGACATTTTCTTTAGTAATAGTATTCCTCTGCTGGTGTGATTGGGCTGATAAGGGACATTTACATTTGGTTGTGAGTTTTGCTTCCTGCCCTCGTTCAGAACTTAATAGTGAATTCTGCAGTGATTGGATTTTTTTCATTGGCGACCAGTGGCTGTTTTTGGACAGTAAGCCTCGAGTAGATAATGGAAGAAGAAAGTATGGACAGACGAAATGCTTATTCCTGAATCTGATGTACAGGTCTGAAATGTATACATGCCTGTGTAGTCCTGTTAAAGGATTTAAAGGTTTGTGCAAACAGTCTTAGCTAAAGTGACGGCGAGCACCCTAATTCGGAGATCTGTGCACACCATGAAGTGGTCACGATGGAGGCGCCTGGCCTGACTGTGGCTGTGATAAATCACGGTGACTACACTTATGGGTCTGTCATCGGTAAATGTGAAACGCCCTTTTGAGTCTAAGGATGATGGATAAATATGATATTTGTGCAAGTTAGTCCCCCCATTTTGGCCTTTGTTTAACTTGCAGTGTGATCGAAGCTGGCAGTTCATCTTTCCAATGTGAGGCCGACAGCGTAGTGTTCGGGGAATGCTTTAATTGGCCCTGAAGTTAAGCTAGGGGAAAATATTTGGTTCCTGTATATTGTTATTTAATTTTATGACTATTTGGGGGGTATAGAAGATATTTTTAGTTAGAATGCTTTCATATTTTAAATGAGTCTAGTTATAAGCAAGCATGCTATGAAAATTATGATAATGAGGCTTCTTTTGAACACTGAATACTTTGAAGTAACAGTAGATTTGAGCTCAGAAAAGCTTACCTTATTTTCTTTTTTAAAGACATGGATACCTTATCACTGATACATATTGTATCTCTAACAAAATATAAACATTAATTGTAATTGAAAAGCCAAGGAGGAAACTAAATTTCCTGAATAGCATAAGAGAAATTTGACTAAAACCAAATTCATAGATGTTAAGAGAACAGGACAAGTATAACAACTTCTTTGATCAAGAACAGGTGTTGTACTTTACATTCTCTTTTCAGGGACCTTCTTTTCTTCCATTGTCTGAGTACGCACCACCACCGAATCCAAACTCTGACCATCTAGTGGCTGCTAATCCATTTGATGACAACTATAACACTATTTCCTACAAACCACTGCCTGCATCGAATCTGTATCTTAGCCCTGGTTACCCTGGCTTTGGAGGGTACAGCACATTCAGGATGCCACCTCACGTCCCCCCTAGAATGTCTTCCCCGTACTGCGGCCCTTACTCACTTAGGAATCAGGCACACCCATTTCCTCAGAATCCCCTGGGCATGGGTTTTAATCGGCCTCATGCTTTTAACTTTGGGCCACATGATAATTCCGGTTTTGGAAATTCATCTTATAATAATGTACTAAATCAGAATGTAAATATGCCTAATCAACATTTTAGGCAAAACCCCACTGAAAACTTTGGTCAGATTCCTCCACAGAATGCTAGCCAGCTGTCTAATTCTGATTTGGCATCTAATTTTGTTCCTGGAAATAATTCAAATTTTGCTTCTCCAATAGAATCTAATCATTCTTTTATTCCACCCCCAAACACTTTTGGTCAAGCGAAAGGACCCCCTCCAAAACAAGACTTTAGTCAAGGAACAACCAAAAACACTCATCAAAATTCAGCCGCTCATCCACCTCACTTAAATATGGATGACACAGTGAACCAGAGCAATATTGAATTAAAAAATGTTAATAGAAACAGTGCAGTGAGTCAAGAGAACAGCCGTTCAAGCAGCGCCGAAGCTACTAATAACGGCCCCGCGAACGGGACGCAGAGTAAGCCGCGCCAACCCCGAGGCGGGGCCGACGCGTGCCCGGCCGAGAAGGGCAGCAAAGCCTCGC